GGGCTGGCTCTGAGTAATGAATAGTTTGAATTGCAGTATGATTCACAAGCTGATTCTGGGTCCATGGCTTGGCAAACAAACACTACAAAACTATTTAAGTCTTTATGAATTGAGCCCCGGAGATTGAGGTTGCTGTGAGCCAGGCTGACGCCACGGCACTCACTCTAGCCTGGGCAACAAAGTGAGACTCTGTCCCCCCCCCCAAAAAAAAAAAAAGTATGAATTTTTAAATGGAGAACTTTGTTTTCAATTTTGTTTTATATGGCTAAAAATACTTAGTTATATTGGTGATATAAAATATTGCTGGTGTTCACTAACTCCTAAAACACCAGCACTTATTGGCTCCCTGAAGACTCAGCATGGCTCTCACTCATGGAAGTGAGATGTGGGCAGATGGAATATTAAGAAAGAAAACTGAGTTATGGGTCTTAATATTGAGGTAAAGCTCAAAATGCAATCAGAGTTGCTTGATGCCTGAAGCATTGGCTTAAGTCATATAGATTGACAAATCAAAGATATAAATATCTTGTTGTTGGGCTTGGGGTCCCTTGAAGAGAATAAGGAACGTAGGGACTCTGTTGTCCACCTACCGCCTGAACCACAGATGAAGAAGCTTTTCAGTAGTCCCCCTTATCTGAGGTTTTACTTTCTCAGGTTTCCCTTTCTGTGGTTTCAGTTATCTGTAGTCAACCATGGCTCATAAATGAGTGAGTACAGTACAAAGATAGATAGAAAGGGATCATTCACATAACTTTTATTATAGTATGTTGTTATAATTATTCTATTTCATTATTGTTAATCTCTTATTGTGCCTAATTTACAAATTAAATTTTGCCATAAGCATATATGTATAAAAACATAGGATTCAATACCATTCATGATTTCAGGCATCCACTGGGGGTCTTGGAATGTGTACCCTGGATAAGGGGAGGCTACTGTACTGTCTGAGTTCAAATCTTGACTCTGCCTCTTACTTACCAGGTGACATTAGTTCAGTGTTTGTTAGTTGAGTTAGTTAACCTCTACCTTGGTTTCTTCATTTGTAAAATGAGGATAACAGTAGTCTCTATTTTACACAGTTTAAGGATTAAATTAATATATATATATATATATATATATATATATATATATATATAGTGCTTAGAAGTTAGCACATAGAGCTCAGATGTTAGGTTAGTATTAATTGGCATTACTTATGATTATTATTGGCTCAGGATCAGAAGATATTCTGTGACTCCAAATATGAGACACATTTTCCTTCCAAGTCCTCAATTACATCAGGCCAAGTCTTTTCTCCTTGCCTTCTTAACTAGAACTTCTTATAACTGACTTGCATCAATAAATCATGTAAATATGAACACACACATATGCTCATACATGCATATGTGTGTGCATTAATTTAGGCAGGAGAATTTTTTTAATATTACTTTTTTCACCCTATGTTTTTATTGTGGCAAAATATATGTAACATAAAATTTACCATCTTAACCATTTTTAAGTGTACAATTCAGTGGTATTAAATGCATTCATAATGTTGCACAACCATCACCAGTATCCATATACAGAACTCTTTTCATTTTGTAAAGCTAAAACTCTGTACCCATTAAACACTAATCCTCCATTCCTCCCTTCTCCCAGCCCCTGCAAACCACCATCCTACTTTCTGTCTCTATGATTTTGACTACTCTAGGCACCTCATATAAGTGGACTCATACAATATTTATTCTTTTGCGACTGGCTTATTTCACTTAGCAAAATGTCCTCAAAGTTCATTCATGTTTGTAGCATATATAAGAATTTCTTTTCTTTTCAAGGATGAAAAATAATCCATTGTAGTAGACAGGAAGATTTTGATTGCAAGAAGCAGGGACTAGCCTAAGAAAAGAGATGCTTATTTTGAGTTTGACCATACCAGACATTCAAGGATAGACAACAGAGGCTACAAGAACTCAAGACATTCTGTAAAAAAGATATCTGCACTAGAATGTTTATAGCAGCACAATTCACAATTGCAAAGATGTGGAAACAACCCAAGTGCTCATCAGTATATGAGTGGATTAATAAAATGTGGTATATGTATACCACAGAGTTCTACTCAACCATAAAAAACAATGGTGATATAGCACCTCTTGTATTATCCTGGATAGAGCTGGAGCCCATTCTACTAAATAAAGTATCACAAGAATGGAAAAACAAGCACCACATGTACTCACTATCAAATTGATATTAACTTATCAACCCTTAAGTGCACATATAGTAATAACATTCATTGGGGGTCAGGCAGATGAAGAATGGAGGAGGGGATGGGTACATACACACCTAATGGGTGCGGTGTACACCGTCTGGGGGATGCACATGCTTGAAGCTCTGACTTGGGTAAAGCAAAGGCAATCTATGTAACCTAAACATTTGTACTCCTGTAATATGCTGAAATTAAAAAAAAATAAAATTTTTAAAAAAGAACACTGAATCTAGACTATTACAGCATATCATGGAGGCAACCTCCTTTGTCTCGCATGTAACTGGACTCTTTATGTCCCATGATTTCAATCCTTCATAAGACAAGTGAAAAATCTATGTACTTGTGCTCACTCTGGGTGTTTCCTCTTGAGTCTGACATCTACTCGTCAGGTGTCTGGGGAAAGGGCAAACAGACTGTAGATATTTAAGTAGGGGAAGGTTCTCAGAAGTGGATTTCCAGATAAGCAGGACACTACTGGCACCTTTGGTATAACTGGTAATCAGCTAAGCTTCACTGTCAGGTACCTACTTTGCAGAGTTTTTAAGATTAAGTGAGTACATAGATATAAAATTCTTAGAACCCAGCACATAGTAAGAGCTCAGGGCCATTCACTTTCTTTGTGTCTTAGGCAAGTTACTTCCTTCTTTCAGGTCCCAGTGTTCCATTATCTTTACATGAGGGTCATAGACTAGGTCCTTTCTGGTTCTGCCATAGAGTATGTTCCCTGCTAAGGATCAACGGATGGACAAAGTGATCAGGATTTCTATGTTTCTTTCCCATCTTATTCAACTTCCCCAGAGTAGGTTCCATTGCTAGGCTGATTATTAAGTTTTTTTTTTTTTCCTTTTCACTGGTGTGAATAATTAATTGCTGCTATCATTAAGGCTCCTAGCAACCAATTTTGTCCTACATCTCCTGTGGTGCAGCATGTACTTCCTGGGCGGATGAAGAAATAACAGTGTGTGAGAAATCTGTTAGCAATTAGCATAGCCAACTGGACTTTCTCAGGAGGATACATAGCATCTCCCTCTAAGAACAAGGACTCTGCTCCTCCACACCAAAGAGAACCATCTGATGTGTTCAATATTTAATAAATGAACTGAAACTCTAATGAGGTGAAGACATTATACATGGACAGTTTTCTCCTGAGGGATTAGTGGGGCAAACCTCCTCCTGAGATCGCATCAACTGTGCCATTATGAATTAACCAGAGGCCTCGCCTCTCCAGCAGGGGAGACTTCACAGCTCATTTTTCACCTGTCTGGCATCGCCTAAGTTTTGCTCACTCCTCTAGTCTCAGTTCTAGAGTCTGGGCATGAAAGATGCAGGAGGAACCATTAGCCTTTCCCATGGTGGTTAACCTGTCTGTGTGAACTAGGTGACTCCCTCTCAGTGGGGCGTTCTCCCTACATGGTAAAAACTCCATGTGGGTCAATGAGCACAGGAAAGTTAGGTTATTAAAAAACTTCAAAGCTCTAGAGGTGATTTGGGGATGGGAGCAACACAGGCTCATGAATAACTGATGAGGTTTCACAAATTAGAATTTGAAGGGCTGTGGCCATTCAAATGGTTGTAGGTCAGCCTTACTGTCCTTGGTTACTTGATCTGTTTTTCTACAGAGCTTGCCATGAGCTCCAGGGGCATATGACCTGCTGTTTTCTGTCTTGTGTAAATCTATTGGAAGGCAGGTAAACATGCCAATTCTGGAACATTAAACCTGGGATGCTGAGAAGGAATCATGTGGCCCCTTCCAATTCTTCTTATTCTCGGTCCTGTTCCACGTTCTTTCTCTACTCTCTTGCCTTGTTTGATTCTCTCTTCTGCCCTTGTCTTTTTTTCTTCTGCTTTTTAACCTTTGACTAGGTCATCAGTTTCTCGGGGTATGTTTCACTATTGTGATAGTGATCACCAATACAAGAAATCATACTATTTTATCAAGGGTTATATAAAAAGAGTTGATTCTCTTGACATCGGGAATAATGGGTATGGATAAAAAAAGAATATTTTCTAAGCAAGTTTGAGAATCACCTTTCTATGACTGACAGCTTCTGTCCAAGTTTTGATGATTTTATATGAAATACTTTGTGCCAATAATGGGAGTGGTAATGAGGAATACTTAGGTGTGTGTGGTGGGAGGTGGGGGCAAGGGGAGTGGTTTGTGGGGTGTAGGGGTAGTGGAAGCCAAGGTTACTTAAAAGCCTAGGAATTACTTAAGATAATAAACCTCTATTATTGAAAGTTTGGGATTGAAAAGGGAATAATAAAGTAGTAATCAAAAATGTGCTAAAATGAATTTGATGCAAATGAGATGCAGAGAGTGCCCTGGATGTGTTGGAAGAGAATGTCAGATAATTGGAAAGCGTACATTCTGGCCTATGCATGGCCAATGCCAATCTCTTCAAGAATTCTCTGGAGCCTCTTATGCAAAAACATTTTAAGTTGAACAAGGACTTTTTCTCTTCCTGTCAGTTAGAGAGTTGTGAAATTTTTTTAAAAATCTATTTTGGTATTTGTTCTATTGGGAAATGGACAAGTTCTGGAAAGGAATCAGGAACAAGCCTTGGCAGGCACTCCGTACTCACCCTGAGTTCAGCCAAGTCACCTTATTCCAGCAACTGCCTGGTAAGAGAGAAGATGTGGTTTATGCAGTAGGGCGAAGGGAGATATGTCTGGCAAAGACTAAACTCCAGGTGCCCAGTTCATCCAGAGCCCTGACCTTTTCTCTGTGGGTAAGAAGATGAGTTCCTCAACACAAGCGAACACTGTAGAGGCCAAATGTTCAGCTGTTCTAACCCCACTAGATCTTTCTTTTCCCTGCTCCTTCCTGGTGCTGCCCCATTGACCCTAAGGAAGAGGAGAGCAACTAACCAGACTAGTCAGGTTTCCAAGCTTCTTGTAGCAACAGGTGGGACTCAAGCCATGCAGACACACGCTGTGTTCTCTCTTCTCCCTCCTGTCCTGATGCTGGTTGGTAAGTTGAATCTGAGCCTTTCCTGGGACATTCGGTCTCTCTCTGTCTCTGCACATATGCCATTGAGATAAGGTCATTCACATGTCTAGGTAGAAGAAGAAAGGGTTTAGCTTTTGGATATGGGAGCAGAGCGATAGACTTCACTGGGCCCTAGTGCTAAATCTCAATGTCCAACCCTGATTTTCCAGAGGGTCTTGCATTGCAGGACCAGGCTGGCCATGACTACACTTCTCATCTGTCTGCTGCTCCCTAGCCTCCTTTTAACCTTCACAAGGGCTGTGGGTACAGGTGCCTGGCAAAGCAGGATTTAGCACAGCTCTCTTTCTTTCTGTATGCCTGGCAACATCACAATCCTATTCTTATTACCACTCTTATACTCTTTGGCAAAGAAATGTTGCCAAATTTCCTCTCTTCAAAGGATTAAGTTAGCCTAACCTAAAACTAGAGAAACTGAAGTATGATTGGGTTTTAGATATGGTAATGTGCTATGCTAATGTTTATCTGGGCAGAGATAAAAAGCTAGGATAGTGAAGCTGCTGGAACAGATTTGTGAGGGGAACACTCAAAGCATCCGAGACTCAGAGGAAGGCTTCCAGTGCTTACTAGTGTGGTTATAGACCAAGATAAAGGAACGCTTGGCTTGTGGAGATTTTATGGGCAGAGTCCAGGGTGGCTGTAGGGTCTGATTTGTTTGTGTAGGTAAATGGAAGGTGTATTTTACCCTTAGAGGAGAGAATGTTCTTTTCTGATGAACAAAGGGCCTGGCTCCTAAAGCAGAGGTTAGAAGAAAAAAAGAAATAAGGAAGGAAAATTGGAAAAGAAGATCTGCTTTTGTATCTCAATCTTTCATAAACCAAGATCCCCTTCCACTAAAAATAAGGTAGTTTGGGTGCTTTAATCTTTACAATGAAACTTGTTAGAATGCATAGGGTAGCAGGTGTTTTGTTCAGAGTAGTAGAGCAACTTGCTGGGGTGAAGGATAAAGACTCCAGAAGCATGGGAGAGAACAACTTATGATTTTGGTGAGACTTCAGAAAGTAACTCAACTACAACCCATGAGTGGTGGAAAGAATCTTGAATGGTTTATGGGTTCAAATATTAACTATGCCTATAAAATTAACATGACCTTAGGAGAGTTTCATACTCTCTCTGGTCACTAGTTTCTTGTCAGCATATGAGGAGCTGATCACATGATTGCTAAGGTTCCTTTTATCTCTTTCTATGTTCCTATAACTTATGCTTAGGAACTGTTCTGGGCTGTGCTTTGTTACAAGAATCCTGCATTCACTAAGCACATTATAGGCTCTGTGTTTCTATTGCTCACTCAGTAGCATCTTTGTCCCTTCTGAAACTCGGCAGTGTTAAATTAAATAAGCAGGAGGTCTTTGGCCTGAGGGTGTCTGTGTACTTTGAGCTTCTACTTAAGGAACTGCAACCTGACTTATTATGAAAACCAACTGAAAACCTAACTGAGGAATATATTAATAAACAACTAAATCTCAGCCAATCACAAGCACCCAAGCTTCAGCCAATCATGGGCTGCCAACTGATCAGACAATATCCAAATAAGGCAAGCCCTGAGCTGTAACCAGTCAAGCTCTTTCTATATTTCTATATTCTGTCTATAAATACTCATTGCCCACGTTACAGGGTAGAGTCCTCAAACCTCTTCTGGTTCTGAGTGCTGCCCAATTCAAGAATTGTTCTTTGTTCAAATAAACTCTGCTAAATTTAATTTATCAATAGTTTTACTATTAACAAGAATAAGCCATAACACCCCCTACCCCGATCCCATGATTTAGATTTTCTAGAACTATATACTACCCAGATTCCTTTCTTAGTAGATTGTGTGCTAGATTTGGCTGATGAGATGTACTTGTATGAGATGTGGAAGGGAAAGAACAGGCATGGATTTCTGAGGCAGCTGAGGGCAGGTGTGTGGATCTTAACAGAGGAAAAGTACAGGACCATGACAGTGGTTTCTGGGCATTCTGCTGAGAATCACCTTCTTTATTGTTGTAGGCAGCTGAGATCATTAACAGTGACTTCCCTGTGACTCTTGCACTTTTAGATTTTCTGAAAGCCAGCACCAGCTTTCCTGACCTTTGAAACCCTCAACCTTTATAATAGTTGTGCAAGTTTCTGATACTCTATGTTAAATTTCCTCCTGCTTGAAATGTCTACCATAGCTTCTGATTTCCTCAGTGTATTCTTCATGGTTCGGATATGTATATGTATATATAGAAGTACATAAAGAAATAATTTTAATATAAAAGGCTCATGTGATCATGGAGGCTGGTGAATCCAAAGTCTGCAGTGAGGGCTTGCCAACTAGAGACCCATAAAAGCTGATGGTGTAGTTCCACTGCACACGCTGGTAGCCTGGAGGCCCAGGAGAGCTGATGATACAGGTAAAGTCTGAAAGTGGTCTGCTTGTGGGCCCCTTGCTTGGGCAGGCTAGTCTTATTTTTCTAGTCAGGCCTTCAATATAGTGTAGATGAGGACCATTCACATTATGGAGGGAAATGTGCTTACTCAAAATATACTGATTTAAATGTTAATATTGTCCAAAGACAGCCTCCAAATTGACACGTAAAAATAACTGTAACACTGACCAAACCCTCTTTGATAAATTTCTTGGTACCAGGGTAGGTTCCAGGAAACAGAATATCAAATGTGGAATATGGGATTGGTTATCTAACTTAGTTAGACTTAAAAGGAGAAATGCCTTCATTGCCAGGAAAAATTGGAATACTGGTAATCCATGGCATGTGGTGATAAAAATTTAATTAAGTTTTCATTTATATTTGCCCACAATTAAGTGTCAATTTGAGATAAGTCTTTGGGAGACAAAGTGGCTACCGTAATAGAATGCTATGGAAAAGATTATTTGTAGGACTGTGGGATGGATGCTTCTCATGCACAGGGAGATTAATGAAGGTGTGGGACTCCTAGAATTAGAATGGCACATTTTCAGGGATTCTGTTAAATATTTGGACTTCAAATCCTAAATAATTCTGAACTCTCTTATTCAAAGAATCAGTCCCTTCTTCTGTCTTGCGGGTCTTATCTTCTTATTCTTAAAGACCCTGCAATAAAATTACCAAAAGAAGTTAGGAGAAGCTAATTATCCTCAAGGCTCACCCCTACCATTTCTTGTTGCCTCCAGACCCAAACTAGTATTGGATCTCAACAACCTCCAGGGGCAGAAGGACACAATCTAAACTTGGAAGAGATAGCATGTTCACCAGAATATTTTACTAATAGATTCTAAGAGTGTTAGGCTAAGGAGAAAATAACACAGTATTATATTGGGCTGCATTTATCAAAATAGATTCATTGTTGTATCTGAAACAATTGAAACTAGTTCTGCTCATTTTGTAAATTTAAACCTGGACTCAATTGTGGCTTATATTCAATGAACCTGAGAAGCCATGCTTCCTTGGATAAAATGTAGAGGCACGTAACTAAAGCGTTAGCAAGATAGAAATGTTTCATTAAGTTTATCACGCATGACCCTCTTACTTACCTGGTTAGAAAAACCTAGATAGCATTCTCTCCACTGAGTCATGGAGAAAGGCATTGGTAAGGAGAACACGAGTTGGTCTTTGAAAAACTCTTTAATGACTTTCCTCTACAAGCTGAGAATGGTGCTGGGAGATGCTGTAATTCAAATGTGCTTCCTTAGATAAGTGGGTATTTGTGTTTCTGGAATGACAGAACAGTAATGCTTAACCACCAAGGACAGGGATGCATGGTTGTGACAATGACATGAAAGGCCAGAGTAATAATCAGAATGATTTCACATGCAGAAATATGGGTGGATAGGTAGTCAGTCTTGATATCTTTAGGTATGAAATAGATAGGCAGCCTAATAGAGTCTTATTTGTTCTGAATAATTGAAAAACCATAAGTCTGCTGAGCAGAGAGCCCTGACTTGTGTCACAAAAGTAGTGATTAAAGTTCTCTCATACAGTTTCCAGGCTGGATCTAGTTTACAGACCCAAAGATGCTTAAATTCAAGGGAGGCAGTTTCCCCTTGAGGAAGAAACCCTACAGCACTACCACAATAAGTGTTAAGGACTATAGTAAGTTGTCTTCCCAACCTCCCCAAAGGCTCATGCAGACATTTTCCTAGACTTGTATGCTCTTAGAAAGTAAAATAAACCATTTTTCTTGGTAATTCCTAGACTTCAGCTCTGAACTGATGCTACCTCTAGGGAAGTCATATTCTATGAATTGCTCTAGTGAGTAGGAAATATTCTAGATGTCTTCATCAGCACATGTGGGCATGGTAGGACTTCTTCCCATGAAAAATCTGGGCTCATTACTTTGGAGTAGTTTATAAGAGTAGTCTTGGGTTTTGAGTTACCCTCTCTAAAATGTTAGAGAAGTTATTGCATTTTTGGATCCCTGGTCACTAAGAAAGAAGTGCAACATTGGTTAACTTCCAAGAATACCACAATTCAAAGTGATGCTTTGACTTATTTACCTAATAATCCATAAGGCTGCCAGTTTTGAGTAGAACCCAGAGCAAGCGAAGGCTTTGCAGTGTATAACAGGCTCCAGTGCAAGGTACTCTGTGACTTGAGCCTTATAAAATCAAATCCAGCAAAATGTTTGTGACAGATAGAAATGTTTCCTGGATTCCCAGGAAAGTTCTGATTAGAAAATCACAGTATAGATGCCTAGGGTTATGAAGTAAAGTCACACCCTTTTGAAAACATCTTCATGCTTGCTACCAGGCCTGGTAGAGACTGAATACCTGATCATGGGACACTATATGACCTTTCAACCTGAACTATCCATAATCTACTGAGTGTTATCTATTTAACCAAACCATAAAGTTGGAAATGTGAAGCAACTTTCCATAATCAAGTGGAGATAGTATTATATATGTGAGATTGGGTTTGACTGAGTCCTAGAGGCAGGAGTTCTTCCAGCAAGTGATTTAGACTTCAGTGGCATCTATGTCTGTATTGCTGCCTTAACTTCATCCC